CTATCCTGGACCTTCAACAAACAGGTTTACTCAGCTGGAGTAGCAGCAATAAGGAGGGGTCCCGTGGCAGGGAAAGTGACAGGAATTCAAGATCAAGGGAGTTGACAAATAAGGACCTGCCAAAAACGGAGCAGCAGACAAGGGAGAAAAAACAGAGGCCGGGAGAAGGGTCAAGGTCGGATGGAGCTGCAGGAGCAATGAGGCCACCCGGGGTACCAGGAGGACCTCTTCTGATCTCTGCCCGAAAGGAGGAGAACGGGCAGAAGAAGGCAAACTGTCAGGAACAGCCAACACCCCAGAAATCAAACTCAGGATCCAAAAACATCTTGACAAACTCAACTAATGGGCCCTATCCAACAAAATGAGTTTCAGTCTGGAGAAAAGCAAAGTCTTACACTTAGGCAGGAAAAACCACAAATTCAGATTGGGCGAGACCTGGCTTGGAGGCAGTAACTGTGAGAGGGACCTTGGAGTCCTAGGGGACGGTCACTTGACCATGAGCCAGCAGCGTGCAGAAGCAAACAAAAAAGCTAACAAAATCCTGGGCTGTATAAACAGAGGCATAGAATCAAAATCACGCGAAGTATTAGTACCGCTTTATAAAACCCTAGTAAGACCACACCTAGAATACTGCAGCCAGTTTTGGTCACCATACTACAAAAAAGATGTTGAGAGTTTGGAAAAAATTCAGAGAAGAGCAACTAAGATGAACAAAGGCCTGAAGACCAAAACATATGAAGAACGGCTGCGGGACTTGGGTTTGGCTAGTCTAAAGAAAAGAGGAAACAGGGGAGACATGATAGCAGTCTTCCAGTATCTGAGGGGCTGCCACCAAAGCACCAGAGGGAAGGACGAAAAACAATGGTTAGAAACTGAACAAAGAGAGAAGCAACCTGGAATTAAGGAGAAACTTCCTGACAGTGAGGATAATCAAAATAATTCCACCAGGAAATTGTGGAAAGTTGGATGAAGCTCCTAACAGAAGTTTACGATCGAGAGCAACATGGTGAAGAAATGAATTTAAATTTCCAGGACAGAAGGAGATTTAAGTGAGGACATGAAGACCACTTAACCTAGTCTTTATTCGCATGTTCCCAGAGGAGAAAGCAGCCCCCCCCCTTTGTTTTTTACTCTCCCCATTCAAGAAGACTTCACACCCAGGTGCTGGATGTCTTCAGGGGGTGGGCGATTATTTATAGTTTGGGGAGTGGTTTGGTGTTGACTTTTTTAATCTCTGAAATGGAGATGGGATGGTCCACCTGCTGTCACCTTTAATTAGCTGAGGTGGGGGCCCCCATCCCACCCGGGGAGGCGGAGGTCCCACGGATGCCTACATGGGGGGACAGTGAATTCCGTGATTTTTCCCTCCTCTCCTCTCACCCTGGTTCCATTCAGCAGTCTCTCCAGTCTTCCTGCATTCTCCCAATCAATTGCTCTCCAGGATAAAGTACAAGAATGCCGTATGGGCAGCCATGTCAATACTGACTTCAGTGGGTTGCATGGAAAACCTCACTGAGATGCCCTGGAGTGGGGCTACCAGACCTCCTCAGAACAGAACAGAATAATAGAGTTGGAAGGGACCTTGGAGGTCTTCTAGTCCAACCTCCTGGTCAAGCAGGAAGCCGTGGTGGCGAACTTATGGCACGCGTGCCACAGGCGGCACTCAGAGCCCTCTCTGTGGGCACGCGCACCATCGCCCCAGTCCTAGGCCTTCAGCTGGATTTTATTAAACCTCTTTGATTTAGACCTCCGTTGCCGTGTGCAAAAAAAAGGTTCAATCAATCAGTCAATTTCAACTTCTCGCAGGAAAAAAAAAAGATCTTGCAAAGTTGGAATTGATTGATTGAACTTTTTAGTCCCACCCAATCTGCTGTTACCACCGCAGCCACACCCACCCAATGGGCCACACCCACCCAATGGGCCACACCCATCCAGCACCCGATGATACATAAGTGGGTTTTGGGTTGCAGTTTGGGCACTCGGTCTCTAAAAGGTTCGCCATCACTGTCCTATCCCATTTAAGACAAGAGGTCATCCCATTTGCAGGTGCCCTTGTCTGCAAACCACTCGGTCTGCTCTGGAGACCCGAGAAAATTTTGGAACAAAGCATAACTTGGAAGTGACGCAGTCACGGCCAGAAGTCAGCCTGGACTTGCCAGCTTAAACTAATTTTGCTTTTTCTTGGGTAATTTCCTTTATCGATAGTGGAACTATCTTGCTCAAACATATCTTGCTTTCTGTTTTGCTAGAGAAGTGATTTCAACAAAATATTCCGTCACATTCTGAGTAATAAGCTATTTCAGTGTGGGCTTAATTAATAATAGCTGGCTTAAAAACTGGGCTCAAAGGGGTGTCAATCAACGGTGCCAGGCTGGGCAGGGTCAGAGGCCCAGAGCCGGACCACGAGCATCTCCAGCCCTGGCCTGGCCGGCAGTATCTCTATCAAGGCTCTGGAGGGAGAGGTCAGGGAGAGGCCCACCGGGGAGAGTCAGTCGGTGGACTGGAGTTAACCAGAAGGATCTCAGCCGGTTCGAGGGAGGGACACAGTAAAGGAATGGGAGGTAGTCCTCGGCTTACGACCGTTCATTTACTGCCTGCTCAAAATTACATTCAAAGCACTGAAAGAAATAACTCATGATCAGTCCTCGCACTTATGACCATCACAAGATCCCTGCGAGGACATGATCTAAGTTCTACTATTGTACTAATTAAAATGGAGAAAGAAAAGAAAAGGAGGGAGGGAGCAAGGAGCAAAGATAATAAAGAAGCAACTTTCTATTTCCTTTTACAGCAGTTGTAAGTATAAATATAAAATAAACACTTTACGGTTACAATATTGTTTACATTTTCTTTATAATCTTTATTCCAGTCACCGAGCGTCTCTTTCCTGTACGGAGCCCATCATTGGTCCAGACAACCTCCCATCCCCTTAGCCGCCCCCTCAACCTCCCTCACTTCCACTGCGGTTCTCCAGTTGTTGTCATGCAGGTCACCCTCATAAGTAATACACGTCAAGTGGAAAATTGTGCTCAAAAAGGCATCAAAGCAACCCCCGTCGGGGCACCCACTCCGCAAAACCTACGCAGGCTAGTCAAAGTTACATAAAGCGGAGGGTACAAAAATGCACCCAGCCTCCGAGCAAAACAGTCATCCGGTGAGCTTGAAAGAAAAGAGAGACAGGGCGAGGGAGGACACAGAGTCCCTCCCCCCCTTGAGCCACGGATCAGGTCCCACGGGCGTATTTTCCTTTCCTTGCTTGGAGCCCCCCTTCAAAAGATCCAAAGCACACCCACTGTCCCACAGCGTCCACCAGGACTGTGCCACCCTTCTCCCCATCCGGTGCCCACGTTACCTGCCTGGCCTCGGGGGCATCTTTCTGAGTGAGCAGGAAGGGCTCCCGGTGGGGAGGGAGGGAGGGAGGGAGGGAGCCAAGGCCCCCACAGCCCTGCAGCCCACGGCAGACAGACGTCCTGGGCTCTGGGCCCCAAAGCCGCCCGGCTGGCAGAGGCCCTGCCGAAGAGAGCAGAGCAGGCTGCTTCCAGCAAACTTGAAAGTCTACCCAGCCTCCCTGCCGCCCTCGCCCGGGTGAAGCGAGGGAGGCGGCGGCGAGTACAGACACATCCAGGCTGTCTTCAGCAGGCTCTCGGCTGCGCACCCCACCGGGGAGGGGGGGAGGGCTGGGCAGCCCCACGGCTCCCCCAGGCACCCCTTCCCTGCAGCCCCACAGGAGAAGACGCCCACCCAGACCTCCCGGGTCTCCTCGGGTTGTCCTGGGCGCTGCCGGGGAGACTGAAGTACCCCCCCCCCCATCTAAGGTCTGGCTGGACGGAGCAAAAGGGATCCAACAGATCCAGCGCAGGAAGCTCATCCTTGAAGGGCTGAGTAATCCTGGCTCACACAAGCATCGTGCTTCACATCCGCTTCGTCAGGGCAGATTTGTCCAACGTATTTTTTTACATATGCACACACACACACACACACACACACACACACACACACACACACACACACACATATTTATTGTGTGTGTGTGTGTGTATGTATATATATATATATATATATATATATATATATATATATATATAATATATATGTTTTCTGAGGTTTTCGCGGGTATTTGTATGTAGGTCTTTGGTTGTTCGGGTTTTCTCCCGCGTAAAATTGGAAGTGTCTTGGTGACGTTTCGACGAAGTCCCATTTGAGACTTTGCTGCTCAAAGCACGAAGCGTCACCAAGACACTTCCAATTTTACGCGGGAGAAAACCCGAACAACCAAAGACCTACATATATATACATACATACTATATATATATATATATATATATATATATATATATATATATATATATATATATATATATATATATAGGTAGACCTCAACTTAAAACCCTTTGTTTAGTTACAACAGCTCTGAAAAAGTGACTTATGACCCAGTTACAACCATTGCAGCATCCGCTTAGTCATGTGATCAGATGGCAGCTAATTCATACTTATGACGGTCGCCCTGTCCTGGATCAGGTGATTCCCTTTTGTGACCTTCTGACTAGCAAAGTCAATGGGGAAGCCAGACTTAGCAACCGTGTGACTAATTTCACAACTGCAGTGATTCCACTCAGCAACTATGGCAAGGAACAGAGGTTGCAAAATGTGGCCAAACTCACTTAACTGTCTCGCTTAGCAACAGAAATTTGGGGCTCAATTTTGATCACAAATGGAAAACTACTTGTACATAGCCTCTGTGTCCACCACCCCCCTTAGAAGTGAAAATGAAAGTGCTCATTATCCTTTAGAACAGGGGTCCTCAACTTTGGTGACTTTAAGACTTGTGGACTTCAATTCCCAGAATTGAATCCAATTCCCAGCTTTGCTGGCTGAGGAATTCTGGGAGTTGAAGTCCACAAATCTTGAAGTCGCCAAGGTTGAGGATCCCTGCTTTAGAAGACAAGGACCCCCCTCAATGCAACCTCTCCCTCTCCTCCCTCCCCCCCAGTTTTATTCACCTCTTAAGGTCAGTTCATCCAGGTCAGCGATCCAGTGGGGACCCCGGGAGACAGAGGTGAGGCAAAACAGGCCCAAAACGCTTCAGTGGGATCTGCGAGAGAGAAAGATGCTTCTTTGTCATCTCCATTGTTAAGTTTTTCATTTGATTTTGGTCCCCTAGGTCAGAAAAACAGAAATGAATTACAGTCCCCGATTTACAACCGTTCATTTAGTGACTGTTCAAAGTTACAACTGCACTGCAAAGGGTGATTTATGACTGGTCTTCACAGTTACAACCATCGTAGCATTTCCCCATGGTCACGTGATCAGAATTGGGGCATGTATTGGGGGCAGGTGCAGCAGCATCCTGGGGTCACGTGGTCACCCTCTTCCCACATCCCAGTAAAGTCAGCGGGGGAAGCTTCTTCGCAAAAAAAGGTCATATAGTTGGGTCATAAAATTCACACCACGACTGCTTTGCTTGGCAACAGAAATTCTGATCCCCACTGTGGTTGTAAGTCAAGGACTACCTCTAATAAGAAGTAACAGAGTCGCTTTGCAATGAGATGGACAGCAAATAAATTTGATAAATAAAAGAAATAAAGAAATCTACATCTGTCCCTCAGGAGGCTCCCTGCCTAGGAGTTTCCCTCGTCCTGAGGAAAATCCCGCTGCCCTTTATGCAGAGGGGGTTCCCTCCTCCCTGGGGCGGCTGGAAGAAAGGAGCCGGGAGACCCCTCCCCACCCCATCTGATCGTGGGAGAATTGACAAGCCCCTTTCCCATGGCCCTCGGAGGGAAGGCTGCCCAGATACCAGAGTCGACCTCAAGCACTTTCAGCCCAACCAACCACGCACATCTGGGAGCAGATGCAGAGGCAAATGTTTTCAAAGCACAAAGCCCAATGGCCAGAGGAGGGTCTTCCCAAACCTTCTACTCAGGCAGGCTGGGGACATGCAGTTCCCCCACAGCTGGAGGGAGCTGGGTTGGGGTCAGGCCAGGCCCAAAGGCAGAAGCTACCCTGTTCTGTGCTGAAGAACCCCCTCCTGAGCCCCTCTTGAGGGCGCCGAGTCCCTTCTCTGCACCCCCAGCTCAGGCCAGCTCTTTCCTCTCCCTGCCCTCAGTCAAGAGCTGGGGGTCCTTTGCTCCCTAGATGCCCCCCCCAGCTCTGCCCAAGTGACTAAGCCCCTCATCTGTGACATCAGCACCCAACAGCAGCAGCCACAGAAGGAAGCCTGGTTTTCAGGAAGGACTCCCCCCCCCCAAGCTGTGCCCCAAAGGAGCCCTCCTGGGGTGCTGCTTTCTTCTCATGCCGAAGATGCAGGTCAGCAGCCTAAAGCCACATTCAGCTGCCTGGGGTTGAAAGCAGCCTGTCAGTTCAGATGAAATAAAGGCTGATTGCAAACTCAGGCTCTCTACTGGAATCTGGTCAAAGCAAACTGGCAGCAGGTAAGAATCAACAGAACTCAAGGTGGGCTGGACTTAGATCTCTTGTGGGTATGAAGGGACTCATGGCCGATGACGCATTTGACCCTTCCCTCCCTCCCTCCCTCGGACCCAGCCTGGTCATCTCCTAAGATTTGGCCAGAACAGGAGCGGCCCAGCCCAACCTCATGTCTTCTTCAAGTGGCTCCAGGTGCATCTGCTTCTCTGTCCCTTTCCCTAGCTCAAGTCTTAGGGACCCTACGATCTAGGGGTGTACTCCATCCTCTGCTACCCAGAAGGTCAACTTCAATAGGAGATCTCCAAACAGATTCCAAGCTCCTTTGACATCCTGGATTTTTCTGCATCTGTATATCTATCCGTCTATCTGTCCATCCATCTATCTTTCATCTATCTTCTATCCATCCATCTTCCATCTATCTACCTATCCATACTCATCTATCTGTCCATCCAACCATCTTTCATCTTTTTACTCATCCATCCATCTTCCATCTGTATTTACTGATCCACCCTCTATTTATCTATCTGTTGCTCTCTGAGCTTGGTTGTTTTCTTGCAGACCTTTTGTTATCCAAACAGGTAACATCATTAGTGCTCGTACATCATCTAGCACTGATGTTGTCACCTAATTGGGCCATGAAATGTCTGCAAGAAAACAACCAAGCTCAGAGAGCACTGAGGACCCCTCATTTCAATCTAGCGCTACAAATATTCTCCTCTCTCTGTGTCTGTCCATCTCTACTTATTCATCCCTCTACCTCTACCTACCTACCTACCTACCAACCTGTCAAACTTACATGGCACCAGGTCGTTCGTTCCTCTGCCCATCATGCACAGCGGGCAGCCTTGCCATTTCCAGATTAGCTGCCCTGGTGGGGTGGGACCCAAGGGCATTTTTTAGAAATAAAGAGCACTAAAAAAACCCCTGAAGCTCAGCCAGGGAATTTCACACCCTCCGCCCACTGTGGCAATCCAGCTTTGGCCCCCTTGCAGATGTCTTAGGATTTGCCAAAGCTGGAATTCTTTTTGTCACGCGACTTTCCTTTCTGCCTCTCCTGGTTCTTAAGCTCCCCTCCCTTTGCAAACAATGGGGAGTTTCTGAGTCCGCTGGCGCTGCAAGCCGCTCTTTGTTTGTGCCCGGCGGGTAAGCAAATTGCGATGAGGAGGAGGGAGGTGCAATAAAGAAGGCCGCTCTCCACTCTGAGGGCTTCCGGGCCCTTTTGTCCATTGCCCAAACCTGTAGCAGCCGCCATCGGAGCCCCCACCCCCCTCCCTGCTTCTCCAGGCCCAGAGAGAGTTTACTGCTCAGGGGCTGCCACAGAGAAGAGGGGCTCAATTTATTCTCCAAAGCACCTGAAGGCCAGACAAGGAAAAACAGATGGAAACTGATCAAGGGGAGACTCAACCTGGAAATAAAGAGAAATCTTCTGACAGTGAGAACTATCAACCAATGCAGCCAGTATAACGACTCCTGATTGGAGATGGGGTTGGTCTAGAACAGTGTTTCTTTCCCAAACTTGACAATTTTAAGGCATGAGGACTTCAACTCCCAGAATTCCACAGCCAGCAACGCTGGCTGTGGAATTCTGGGAGTTGAAGTCCACATGCCTTAAAATTGTCAAGTTTGGGAAACACTGGTCTAGAAGACCTCCAAGGTCCCTTCCAGCCTTAGGATTCTATGAATCACCAGGAATATTCCCACCAGCAAACAGGGCAAGCCACTAGTATCTAAACGACAGCAAACCCCACACCCTTCTAGCACTGATGATGTTACCTAGTTGGGTCACGAAACAGCTGCATGAAAACCAAGCTCAAAGACCACCAAGAGCCCACAGACCACCACCACCTCCTCTTCCTCCTTTCTCCTTCTGCCTTCAGATGTTGTGGGTGCTCCGTCACTGGAGGCTTTCAAGAAAAGACTGGTGTGGGGTCTCCTGATTGATCAGAGGGTTGGAGTAGAAGACCAGTTACTTGTAGTTTCTTGCCTGCCCAGGAACCACAGACCCGAGACCCATGGGAAGCAGCAATCCATTAAGTTAACTGCATGTTCTATTTCCATTTTCTATAAAAAGGGTCCAAAGTGCTAATAAAAAGGCCTAATAAGGAATAGGCTGCAAATGAAGGTCGGGAAGTAAAGACGCAGAGTTCCCGGAAGCCAGAAGGTCATCTTTCCAACCTGCTGGCACCAGAGACGATCCTCAGGAAGGTCCATGCACTATTTGGATCTTCCCCTGCCATATACACCATCTGGAAACACCCGTTTGTGTGTGCGCAGGCTTTTAATAAATTACGGTATTGTTTACTTGCAATTCTTAGCCATGCCGTGCACATTAAAGAGAGGATGGGAGAGAGGGAGGAACCAACGTGATGGTGGCTTGGGGGTCAGCCAGATTTCCCAACTGTTCCTCCCCCTCCACATTCCAGGATTTTGATCCGACTTCGAAGGTTTCTCAAATTAATTCCAGATTTAAAGGCAAGAGTGCTTTGCTGCCACTTTCCATTCCTTTGCACGGAAGAGAAAACTGTAGCAGGAAGAGTAAAAGCTGCTAAAATGCAAGGGGAAATCCATAGGACAATAATTTCAGGAGGTCTTCTTCATCAATGCTGTTGGATCTTCTAATTTTACATTTTTTGTTAACACCGTTGTCTGCTGTTTATTAATCTTGAAACCTGCTATTCTTCTGATTTTCCCATTAATCTTTCAATTCCCTTCAAAGCAGCCTTGGCCACTTGAAGATGTGTGGACTTCAAATCCCAGATTTCCCCAGCCAGCACAGGATTTTCCAAACCCAACGCGGTCATCTGCAAAAGTCCTTAACCTATTAGGAATATACTCCCCATAAACTATCTCAGCTCCTCTGTAATGCTCAGCAATTTTTGTTTTCTTAGATAGCTATCTGTTTTTCTCTAGACCAGTGGTTCTCCACCTGTGGGTCGGGACCCCATTTGGGGTCGAACGACCATTTCACGGGGGTCGCCAAACAACGCAGTCCGCCATTTTTTCCCCCTTTTCCTTAGCTGTGCTACTCCCTTTTATTCTATTGGCTTTTGAAAGCCAATAGAAGAGACTCTATTCAAAAGAGTCTAATTCTATTGGCTTTCAAAAGCCAATAGGAATTGTCCAGGCTGTCTCTGCCCTGCTGAACCCGCCAAAAGTCCCATTCTGCAAACGGTGCTGCACCCGTTGAGTAGTCCTCGACTTACGACCGGCTGAGTAGTCCTCGACTTACGACCGGTTGGGGGTCGCAGCATTAAAAAGGTTGAGAACCACTGCTCTAGACAGATGTCACTCCTTTATACAAATTGGAATATCAATGAAATGCTTTTTCTATGGCTGCATTTTGTTGGAGAGAGATTGGCTAAGCCAGGGGAAGGAGTCAAGTGGGGAATTAGCCTGGAATCATTACATAGGCACAAGAGAGCAAGGTCCAACCCTCTCTGAGGATCTTGCATCTTATCTAATCTGGCCCAGATTCAAACCGCCAGTCTGAGAAGATTCCTGTGAAATAGGCATAGAACAATAAAATAGCTAGTTTGATCTCTAGATATGTGGATCTGGTTGTTTGCGCCTGCCAATTATCCATTAATATAGTATCTCCCTCTTGTAATTTCAATATTTTCTTTTCTTTTTCTTTTTGCAATTTATATGATAGCCACTTCCCTAGTTTAT